TTTTTGGGGTTTTTTCGCCGCGGAATAATTGGAATTTTGGGTGTTTTTGGCAGGTTTTGGGACGTGTGGCGGCGGGAGGAGCAGCAGGAGCTGAAGGATTGCGGCGCCCTGGGGCCCAAAGGGCGCTGGGTGAGCGCGGCGTGCGCCGAGCCGCGCCGCTGGGTCTGCGAGAGGCCCGGCCGCTGCTGAAAACCCGCGCTTTTCACCCAAAATTCCACCCAAAAAAACCCCCAAAAATTCCCAAAAATCCCGCAAAAAACCCGGCGAAAATCCCCCCAAAAATCCCCGTTTTATTCAAGGATTTGTGGCCAAAAATCTGATTTTTTTGAAGTGTTTTGTGCCAAAAAATCGGATTTTTTCGAAGTGTTTTGTGCTAAAAAATCTGATTTTTTAAAAGATATTTGTGCCAAAAATCCCGCAAAAAATCCCGATTTTATTAAAGCATTTGTGTCCAAAATTCTGATTTTTTAAAAGATATTTGGGGCAAAAATCCCGGAAAAAAATCCCGATTTTATTAAAGAATTTGTGCCAAAAATTCCGCCAAAAAATCCCGATTTTATGAAAGAATTTGTGCCAAAAAAATCCGAATTTTTCAAGTGATTTTCTGAAAAAAAATCCGATTTTTTAAAGGGTTTGGGGCCAAAAATCCCCAAAAAATCCCAAAAACATCCCCAAAAAAACTCCCCATGTGAGGGGAAATGGCGGGAAAAGTGAGGGAGAAATGGCGGGAAACGTGAGGAGAAAATGGCGGGAAAAGTCAGGGGGAAATGGCGGGAAAAGTGAGGAGAAAATGGCGGGAAAAATGAGGGGGGAAATGGCGGGAAACGTGAGGGGGAAATGGCGGGAAAAATGACGGGGAAATGGCGGGAAAAGTGAGGGAGAAATGGCGGGGAAAATGACGGGGAAATGGCGGGAAAAGTGAGGAGAAAATGGCGGGAAAAGTGAGGGGGAAATGGCGGGAAACATGAGGAGGAAATGGCGGGAAATGTGAGGGGGAATTCACGCCAAAATTCCCTTGGATTTCACACCAAAATCCTCTGGAATTCACCCCAAAAAATCCTCTGGAATTCACCGCAAAAATCCCCTGGAATTTGCCCAAAATCCTCTGGAATTCACCCCAAAAAATCCTCTGGATTCACCTGGAAAATCCTCTGGAATTCACCCGAAAATTCCCCTGGATTTCACCCCAAAATTCCCTGGAATTCACCCCAAAAAATCCTCTGGATTCACCTGGAAAATCCTCTGGAATTCACCCCAAAA